AAATCCTCTTCTTTAATCAAGTTAACACAATACTATGTTAAACTTGCTATAACACTTTCGTGTCATATGACCTAGTTTTTCTCAAATTTAATTGAGAAACATAGCGTCATTCATAGAGAATTGTGTGACAATTTTATGGTTACCACGATGGGTACCATTCTAATTGGTGTGGATCTGGTTCAGCTTGCTGCTCTCATTCTTGAAACTTTAATGTTTCACAGCAACCTAAGTGGTTCGTGTAGTACTGATAATAGTACTTCTTATAATATCGTTATTATGGGCAATAAACTCATTCTATTCCCATATATTCTTCACATATATGCATGCGTTTGAAGGAAATCATTATACTCCATAGTATGTTTTCAATTTATGCTCTAATCATCAAGGTAATACACCTCAATGTCGACTTATCATACATCAATTCAAGCTTTCATTCTAGCATTCATAACCTTTCTAAAATTTCATGCATAAAATCCAATGAAATTTGTCATTCATTAATGACTCATGAGGAAGGTTTCAATACTTACCTCATTTCAAGAAGTCATTGCGTTCTGTTTTTCTGATTTCTCAAAAATTAACTAGCACCATGCATAGCTCCCTTGATCCTCGTCCTGCTTCTCTCAACTTTAATTATCCAATAATGATTCCATAGCCAAGTGGCTTTCTACGATGATACGTGCGGCCTGCGGCAACGTGCTGAGGAAAAGTGCGCGGGTGCCTGGGTTCCAATTTATTCCAATAAGCAGGACGACCACACTGGGTTCTGTGCCGTCTTAATTCCTTAAGCCACCTGGGTCTCTCTCAGTGTGGGGCAAAGCAAAGTGCGGACAGAAGCAGTTAATTGCAAACAATTAATTGGACAAAGGAGAAAAATTGAGGGCACATAATTACTCCCTCCTTATCTCCCTTCCAATCGTCTGTCCGTAGAGGAGCTCTAAAGGTTAGAAAAGAAACTTCAGTTACTTCCATCTCCACATCTAGGGCTGGGAATCCAGACCAAACCGTATGGAAAACCGCGGTCTAGACCGTATCGTATGGTTTGGTCTGGACCGTGAGACCAGAACTATGGTCTGGTCTGGTTTGCGGTCTCCTCCTTTAGTGCGTGGTCTGAAGTGGTCTGGACCGCGGTCTACCGCAGTAAACCGTAACAGACCGTGACACCCTACCTACTACATTGGACAAAAATAACACTAAATTGAACCTCCATATGTGTATTTGAAGAACAAAGTTAATTGATTCTTCATCCAGTTGAGAGCCAACAAATTGCAAAAGGATCGCTTATATGTTATCTCCTTATCAAAGTACCACACAAAAATCAGAAAGACTCATAAATAATATTCACAGATAATGTCTAGACTATGGAGTCGATAAAAATTAAACACTACAAAAAAATTCGTTCACCTTGATGAGATAAGGAAAATTATTGAGAGATATGCGACCATCTTAGTGGTTCGAAATTACCTCGACGTCATCAAAAAAGTTATCAACTGGGAGAAGCTTCGGATCACTCGAGAGAGGAGAGAAGCGGTTGCACAAAGAGGAATAGGGAAATAAGGCTATTTGAAAATTGAAAAAACCCACTTCTATCCTCATATTTCTTCTCATTTAATACGATCACAATTTTTTTGTTTCACTAGCATATTGGTCACTAGATTTTTTTTTATAGATACCGGCGAAGGGTTGGAGGGCGAATAAGAGTTAATTTTTTTTTAACATGGTCTGTCTGGTCCAGACCGTACCGGACCGCACCGCACAGGTGTGGTCTGGTCTAGACCGTATAGTATATGGTCTGGTCCATGGTCTGTGTTCCAACCTCTCGGTCTGGACCACAGACCGTATCTATGGTCTGGTCTGGACCGGACCGCACCGTTTCCCACCCCTATCTACATCTAAAGATGATTAGTCTCGTTCCCTTTACCTGTTTGACAAGCTCTAAAATTATTAATAATAATAAAAACAAAAACAAAACCCGCTTAGGGTTTGAGAGGAGAGGGTATTAGCCCCTTTCATAGCCGCCACGAAATCGGAGCAGTATAAGCTTCCCTATCCATTCTTCTTTTCTCTTTGGACTCCATTAGCTCCGAGATCCGCCTTCGATCTATCCTGTCCAATACCCCTTCTCCCTAAAGGCTGCTCGGGTCTAAGGAAGACGGTGTTTCCCAAAACGACGACGTTTCCAGACTGGTCGAGCGTTTTGGCGAACTCGGCGCCTTGTTCCTCGTTTCCGCATTCCTGGGCGCAGATCTGGGCGAAATCCGGGAAAGAAATTGAGCTCGTCGGAAATCGCTTGAGCCAGAATCGGTATCCTGTTCGGTGCACAAGACAGCAACCAAATGGTTTTAAAATTGTTAGAAATCGAACAGGAAAGTTAGGGTTACCGATCTGGCTGAGTCGCGGACTAGGTCGCTCTCTTTAAGACGTTCGCGGCACTGCCTTCGTTGCGCACGGCAGACTATCAGCCGGTCGCCTCCAGGATAAAACAGCCATTCTGATTTGTTGCTCATCGGTATTGTGCGAAAACCGGAGCTCTCTGAATCTCACTCTCTCTCTCGTGTTTCTGCTCTCTGAGGTTTTTTTAGAGGGTCTAGGGGTCTGCTATTTATAGGAGCAGAAAACCTAGAATATTCCCTCTTTCTTTGGGAATAAGCCACATTTTAATTAGGAAGATAATTACTTCCATAATTAAAATATATTATATTATATTAAGATAATTAATCCTAATTATCTCCATAATATTCTTTTTATTAATTATCCTTCCTATTTTCGTATCTAGAAAGAATACGGGATAATTAATTCAATATAGCTTTCAAAGCTATTCATTCCCAACAGATAGAACCAAATCCAACTGTAGACAACATCATGTTGATGGTGACAACCTCCATGCAGAGCAGAGAACAACTCACCATAAACTGAAACCCTAAATCGACCATTCACTTCCTAAATCTATCACAACCCTAAAGCTAAACTCTCTCTCTCTCTTCTTTCCCATGCCTCAGTTCTCCTATGATTTGGGTTTCGTACACTCCATATGTCTCTCCAACTTATTTGCGCTAATGGTCCTAATCACTCTAACTACCACATGGTTTAGGCTATGAAAACGGCTCTTGCACAACCAATAAGAATTTCTCCTTGGTCATATACACGGTGACTCAAATTAAACTATATGATAGTTCCAAGTTACTACCATGTTCATGTTTCCCAACCCTGTTTTTTTTTTTTTTAATTCCCCTTTTGCCATTATGCCCTATTGATTATGACCTAATGATGTTTTAATGCAGTGAAGTAGTATTCTCATCTTGCAATAATGTCTTTTTTAGGACCAAGTATGGGCTAAAAGAAGTAAACAACACAAGCACAAACACCCTTCCCCAACGGTGCTCGCGATCTGCCATACATTAGCATGTGAAGAGCGATGCGACCGAGCCACCCACCTCAATTAACAATTGCATAGTTGCCTATCGTCTCCTGATTCTCCCAATAGAGAACGAGAATGGGAGATTTCCTGGATCTCTTGTCCCCATTGCCATTTGTTTATATTTCCTTGAAAACACCCCTTTTGTTTTTTGACCTGAATTCGTCTGAATCCTGTCTAGTAAAACACAAAGTACATTGTTCAGTACTTCTCTCCTTGGGCGCCCTTGGAGGATGCAGCAACAGTTTATTCGGAAGGGTTCCAGGCAGATCATGGCCCTCATAATCATGTTGTGAAAGTCTTGGTCTTCCTCCCACTTGGACTTGATTATAGAAGTGGAAGGGATTCTGCCTAGTATGATATCTCATTGATTTTGGTAGATGTACTTTATAAATGATTATTGTGACCATATAATGTAAAACTAGTCATGCTTATGTTTGCGAATAGCTAACTCTTTCCATTCAGTGATTGGGTCAGGTCAAGGTACAATTGATTTAGATTGAGAGAAAATCGTGAAGCGTTTGGACGTATTGACGATCTACAAGGAAAGAGGGAAGGTTCTCACGACTTGTTATCACACTAAACCTCAAGTCAATTGTGGTACTATAGAGAGAGAAGTGTATGTGGTTTAGTTAGAGAGCGAACCCCCCTCCCACAAAATGGGGCACCTTGCATTCGATGTGATTGTACTTCGAAGATATAGGCACCAGACTGAAGGCTCTTGGTCTCAGGATTAGCGGACCTTGGCTCTTTAACCTGCCGAACTTCTCGGAGGCCGATGGGTTATTTTCGTCACTGTTCCTAGCAGGCCGGTCATCTAGGCTGCGGCGGGCTTGGGCCTTTGCATTCGGGTTGAGGTATGAATTCTCACATTCTCAACCCTAACCAATTGTCATTAATATCTAAATCTTAACAAATCGTTTTTTACGCTTTCACTAACTGGCGAATCATCAATCTCCATTCACATTTTGTCCAAATTTGTCATATTATAATGCCATGTCACCAACATTTATACCAAAAAAAGTCACTCGGAAACCCACAAGTCTGTTGGTCCAAAAACATAGTACATTCGACCAAAATAAACGGGTCATCACAAGACGGGTCACCCCTTCAAAAATCGGTATTACAAAAAGAAGGGGTAAAACAAAGTTTTCATCAGTACAAACTAGTCGAATCATGATGATACGAACCACGCAAATTAGTAAATAATAATCTTAAAAAAGTAAAACTTTCACCAACTAAATATTAAGATCAAGATGACAATAAAAACAATTGTGACCTACACATCATGTGTCTCTTCAATTGGAGCAAATATATCAACTAAGTCAAATGCTTAACCTTCATAGAAGCCGTTAACCACTAAAACACTTATTATTGTACTCATAGTAATGATCTTAATTAACTTATACAAAGAGTACACTACCTTATTCGCTTTGACTAAAACCAAAAAACTAAATCCATTTTTCATTAAGAAAGAAAACAAATCACAACTTGTCTGAGAAAAAAGAGAAATTTTTAATTGGTGGAAAAAATCATTAAAAAAAGCATAATAAAATATTTGGAGGATAACCAGATTCAGAGCGACACAGACTGTTTGTTGCCATTTGCCAACAACAGCCCATGTTCTGGCGGTTTCTTTCTTTGCCTTTGCAGATAGATAACTTTACACACTACAATCAATAATCGTCATCGCACCCTGCAAGCAACGCAACCCCGTCGTCCCCTTTCCTTCCCTTCTTCTTTCTTCCATCTTCTCCTTCACTCTCTTTTGGAATCTTGCGTCTTTCTGATTTCTCCCCCATAAAGTTCCGAACTTTATCTACTGTCCCCCCCTCTGCAGCTTGTCACGGGGCTCTCAGATCTGCGAGCACTTTGATGGGAATCAACACAGTGATTGATTGATCCCAGGAAATAGTTGCTGTTTCCTTTTCTTTGGCTTCCCGGATGGGAACTTGTGAAGGTAACCTGACAATCTCTGCCTAATAATCTTCCAGCAACTTGAATGCCTTGTTCACTGTTCTGTGTTGGAGCAAAAAGAAGTTTTGTGGTCTCGCGATACGGTTCATCTCTGGGAGAGGGTTTGCCTTGTTGGTGTTCGACGAAAAGCCTGAATGGGGAAGATCCAGGGAAACAAGCTCTTGTTGGGTCTTGTGTTTATTGGGTTGGTGATTTTGGTGCTGGCGGGCAGTGGGGAAGGTCAAGATCAAGGTTTTCTCATAAATTGCGGAACAAGTTCTACGATTCAAGTCGATGGCAGGAATTGGACAGGGGACTTGGCTCCTAGCAACAGTAATCTCACTCTTAGCTCCCCTGGGTTCTCTGCCACGACCTCGGAACCCATCGGCGATTCCATATTTAGCCAGCTCTATAAAACTGCCCGGATTTTCACCACCGACTTTAACTATACCTTTCACGGTGTTCAGGGCGCTTCTTACTTCCTCAGGCTCCATTTCCATCCCGCCCAGTTCCAGAACTACAACGCTAGCGAATCCTTGTTCAGTGTTGCGGTCAATGGCCTTCGACTTCTGTCCGAAATCAGTGTCGCCGGGGACATTTCCCACAGGAATTCCATCTTGTTGAAGTCAAGCAGCAACTCGAGTTTTCCCATTTCCTTGGTGAAGGAGTACATTCTGACTGGCAACGGTACTGAGCTTGTGGTTGAGTTCATTCCCGCGAAAGGATCATTTGGGTTCGTGAATGCGATAGAGATTGTTGAAGTGGAGTCCACGATTTTCCCTGAAACATTGAGCAAAGTTGGGGGAGGTGATGTTAGCCTTGGCCCAAGCCGAAGAGGGATCGAAACTATGCACAGGCTGAACGTTGGTGGTCACCAGATTAACCCGGATCAAGATTCGGGTCTAGGGAGACTGTGGGAAGATGATTCCAGCTACATGGTCACTGCAAATGCCGGCTTCGAAATCCACAATAGCTCCAACGTCACCTACGCTTCTTCTGGTGGTAATAATAACAACAATGTCACCACCACCTCGGTGGTGGCTCCTCTTCTTGTCTATGAATCAGCAAGAGCCATGTCCAACACGCAGGTGTTGGAGAAGAGGTTCAACATGTCGTGGAGGCTCGAAGTCGATCCAGGTTTCGACTACATGGTTCGGCTCCACTTCTGTGAGCTCGAATCCGATCGAGCTAACCAGAGGATTTTCAGGATCTATATAAACAACAAGACGGCTGCTGACAATTTCGATGTGTACGCAAGAGCTGGAGGGAAGAACAAGGCTTACCATGAGGATTTTTTCGACGTGCTGTCTTCTGGTATCAACACGATTTGGGTTCAATTGGGCCCTGATGCTGCTGGGGGGGCTCCATCGACTGATGCTCTGTTGAGCGGGCTCGAGGTTTTCAAGCTGAGTCGAAACGGGAATCTGGCCTACGTCAATAAACTCGATTCTCCAGGGAAATCCAGAAGGAGCGGAGTTTCCAGGACTCTGTTGGTTGGAATAGGAGCAGTTATAGGCTGTATTGCCATCATGGCAACTTTAGGCGGCATCTTCTGCTGCTACTCGATATGCATGAAGTTGAATAGAGAAGAACCTGGTAAGAAGAATCCTAGTACAGGCTGGCGTCCGCTATTCAATGTTCATGGTACAGTAGCGAGTAGCATTGCTAATGGCAAGGGTGGTGGTGGGACCCAGAACCCCGGCGGAAGTGCTGGTTCAGTTAGAATCGGCAGGTGGTTCACATTGGCTGAAATCCGAGCAGCAACGAACAACTTCGACGATGGTTTGGTTATTGGAGTTGGCGGTTTTGGGAAGGTGTACAAAGGCGAAACTGAAGACGGTTTAGTCATGGCAATCAAGCGGGCGAACCCACAGTCGCAGCAAGGGTTGGCTGAATTCGAGACGGAGATAGAAATGCTGTCCAAGCTGCGGCACAGGCATCTGGTGTCCATGATCGGATTCTGCGAAGAAAACCATGAGATGATATTGGTATACGAGTACATGTCAAACGGGACGCTTAGAAGCCATTTGTTTGGAAGTGATGGTAATCCATTTATGACGTGGAAACAGCGCTTGGAGGTGTGCATTGGTGCAGCTAGAGGGCTCCATTACCTCCACACAGGTGCCGACAGGGGGGTAATCCATCGTGATGTGAAGACGACGAACATATTGCTGGATGAGAATTTTGTGGCAAAGGTGGCAGACTTCGGGTTGTCGAGAACCGGTCCGGGTTGGGATCATACCCATGTCAGCACTGCTGTGAAGGGAAGCTTCGGGTATCTGGATCCCGAGTACTTCAGGAGACAGCAGCTGACTGAGAAATCCGATGTTTACTCTTTTGGTGTGGTGTTGTTCGAGGTTGTCTGTGCTCGAGCAGTGATCAACCCGAGCTTGCCGAAAGACGAGATCAACCTTGCTGAGTGGGCAATGAGGTGGCAGCGACAGAGGTCCCTGGAAACTATTATTGACCGGCGTCTCGAGGGAAGTTATTCCCCTGAATCGATGGAGAAGTACGGGGAGATAGCGGAGAAGTGTCTGGCTGACGAAGGAAAGAATCGACCAACAATGGGGGAAGTTTTGTGGCACCTGGAGTATGTATTGCAGCTTCATGAAGCTTGGCTGCAGCTGCAACAGGCAAACCCAACTGAGGTGTCTATTTCTGGTGGCCACCAGAGTATAGAAGCCAGCCAAGAACATCAAGAACAACAAACGTCGACTCCCCAGTCCCACATTGACGAAGATCAAGTGTGATGCAGTGCTGCAACTTGTACGTGTTATTCAAATTCTTTTATTTCACTCCAGTTTCTAAGCACAGAAATTGTAATCTTTCTAGCAACTGTATCATAGAGAGGGGAGAGCAGGATATTGATGTCTGATGAGATAGCAGAAGCATATAATTGTATTGTATTTTATTTCTTCTGCTAAGGTAGCTCTTGGCTACATTGAAGTCGGATTCTTCTTTATATATACACTGTCGGTCTCATTTTCCAGAGTAACACAATAACATAATATAACCAAAGCCAGAAATGTTGCAAAATGTATCACACGTAAAGAGCTGACAGATACCCGTTACAAACATGGTTTAGTAGCTATATTTAATGCAATTTGCAGGCGAGACTGCAGACAAGCTTTCGAACAGCTTCAAAGCATTCATCATCAACCGAGAAGGAGCTCAGACGCTGAAGCAGGGCTGTTTCTGTGATTTGGTCGAATTCTTGCCTTGACCTGAACAAGAAATAACCTCCGCATTCCCACGCTGAAAGGTTGGTAGAGTTTGGAAATGGCTTTCGCTGGAACAACAAGTGCAAACGTCAAATACCATTCCAGCGGTCAGGAAACTTGATCTTTCCCACAACTAGGGAAATCCCATATACATTCTTTTCGTCCCTCGAGTCTCTAGATTAAATATTTCATCCCTTTTAGCCTCACATGCCCCACATATATTGGAAACCTCTCGTTTCCCCTCAATTTCCTCTCATGTTAACCAGCTACCCGTTATTTGAGACTGAATGGGAGATTAATTAATGGAGGCAAAGATGGATTTCTTGCATACATGACGTATGAGTCATAAGATGAAAAACAGATTTCTTGCATGCTAAGCATGAACTCGTATAATTTGGACGGAATTTCCAGTATATAGGCACAAAACTGAATAAGAGGGGGGAATGGAGATTTACCTGAAGGAACAGAAAGACCTTCCTCCCGCAGTCGGCTATCAGCAGATTGTATGTTACGTTGTTCACTTGTAAGAAACTACAAATCTCAGCTACAACTTCCACTAGTATCCTGGAATAGCAGCAGGCTTCAAGGAGAAGGGTTTTGATGGGATAATCTATGACAGTTGAGATAGATATAGGTCCCGTATCCCCGTCTCTATATAAAAGTTCAACAGGTGCAAACTCCACTGGCAAAAGATCTGGGAAGTAGCAGGCCTAAATCCACCAAAAGAAAATAACCAAGAATGAAAAGCCTTAAAGTTGTTAGCCCAGAAGTCTCCAGAAATAACTCCATCACTTGAAATGATGTCGGTCTAATTCAGAAGTTACTGTTCGGCGCATAACTGATGCTAAAATCAGCCACTGAAGGAGTTAACTCAAACTACTCGACTTCCCAGATAAATAAATTCATCCAAAGATGAGATATAGTACCTGAAAGTGTGGATATGAAGCCCTAGATCCAGAGCAATCATGAAACAAGCGGAAAGAACAATTGTTCATGTCAATGGCAATCCGAGCAATCATGTCAAGGAATCTGGCATCCAGGGCATGGCAGAGATCTCTGTACCCACGAGGTATCAGGAACACATGCCCATATTCCACTGGATTTACCTATCAACCATAAATGGGATCAGTAAGATTTCCGTCATTATATGATCAGCTCCAGAAATATTGCAGAAATCCATCGAATACTACTTCAAGCTCGGCAAATGATTTGCTGGAACACAAGATACTGGCACAAAAAGCTAGAAGAGCTGATGCATCAGAAATATAAAGCAGTATGGCCTGCATGAGATCAATTTCTGGATAGTAGCTATATAAAATAAGTAAACAGCAAGCATAGTGCATAGTAGAGGTATTGAACAATGAAGCAAATTGAGTGAACTCCGGGAAACAACTCCCGGCACTCTATCTTACATTAAATGCAATCATGACTGCCTCGTCAGGCACAGCAGCTGAAGGAATAATGTCAGAATGCAGCTTGTCGCCACGTTTAATCCAAAAGAGCAGGTTATCTTGCTGGTGGTTCAACCAGGCAGACTCTGATATATTCTTCTTTCTCCAACCACAATTCAACTGAGCAAGAAATCTGCTTCGACCAGTAATGATCTACGTAAAATGTGCAAATGTTAACTACACACAGTAGCCAATAAATAGCTCTTAAAACAAGATGAGGATCCAAAGGAAACCTTGATTTCCGTCAAGGTTATGTCATGCATGAATTGACCTTTTATAAGTTTCTCTTCCCACTGAAAGTCATCACAAAATGACGGAAATACGTAAGGAAGCCAAACACTACAATGTGAAATTAGGAACACCTACGTTACAGACCAACCAAGAAGAACAAATCACACACTATTAACCTTTGCAAGCAGAAGATATTCAAGTGGACTCTGTTCTTCTTTGCATATGTGCAGGGGTTCGTCAGACCCAGTGTTTTGCACGAGAGGTTCCACACCAATGTTGTAAACTGGGGTTTCAATGCCTATGCAATAGCGTGAGCAGTTCAAAATATCATCAATAGAAATGGAAAAACCAACAACCAGAGAACTGAGAAAACTGTTGTGTCAATTAGTCATCTTCCAGTTTCAGTGACAGTGCAGAGAAGTAAACCAATGCAAATGAAATTACCTTAGACTACAGACAGAAAGCTTATATCTGACATTCTTTAACCCAATACATACCTCCAGAGTTATGTAGACGCTAGACAATGTTCAAAACAATTTCAAGTAACTTCACTACATTTAGAAGATGAACGTTCAAGGGATTTGACAATCAGAACTAACCTTGAGAACCAAATTGTGGACAAACCGATTGCTTTGTGGTGCACTTGGATGGTAAATCACTACCTTCGAGCTGCTTGATATTCACCATTGCTATACTGAGAACCCTTACAGAACCAGAAGTAGTCTAAGCCAGTAGTAATCAATGCGTTGCCTCAAGAAACTTCAAAAGCACAAAACTTTAGATACATTAGCAGCAACCGCCACCAGCAAGGAAGGTAAGGTCTGCCGGGTGGCCACCAGCCGATGGAAGTGCACCACGACCACCGTGAAACGAAGGAGATGCAATCAAGAACTTAGGGAGCTCGCTTGCATCCATGACTTTGCCCTTTTGATCGTTTTTATACGAGAACCTCCTTTAATAGCCGTGTTTGAATCGATGAAGCTAGCCCAATCAGGACCAGCTGACCACCACCCACCTTATACCCTCGCAAATCTTGCAGGAGAACTGGAAATAACAAGTTCGATAGGTCAAATAAACGAAAAATGGCTATTCCTCTCAAACAAGTTGGGGAATTTGAGCTTCCCCACAAAGAAAATGAAATTTCCACTAACACATTCATTCATCTAAAATCTAAGCTAGGTTCTAAGCCATCAAGAAAGTTGCCAAGGGATTCTGCACGGCCACTGTCTCCCTCGCATAAATCAACCTAAATGGCGCTATGCATAGCACGAGTTTTAGAAAAGGGGGATCGCTCGAATCACATTTCAACCGGAGTCCGATTCAGACTAATCAGAAACACATCAAAACCAACTACCGAATCCATGTCTAAAAGCTCAAGACGAAGGAATCAACAAGAAAAAATTACATTAAGGGATCGCGACGTTTGCTGATCAACGTATAATGGAAAGTACGTACCTCGGAATCTTTCGCTCATTAATTTCCAGTACCCTGTAAGCAACTGAGACCACCGCCTCTACGTGTTCCGTCAGCTACGAGACGGGATGGCAACGGAAGAGGTCGGTTCCGGATAAATTATAGGTAAAATACACTTGTATAGCCATAACTTTCACGTTTTTGACAAATATAGCCATTTTTATTCGAAAACCACAAAAAGCCAATTCCGTCCATCTCTTTAACGGTGTTACTTAACACTCTGACTAGACTGACGGAAATGCTTACCTGGCGATACTTTGTCGGACACGTGGATTATAAAAAAGGACACAAATTCAATTTTTCCGAGTTCATAAAATGAAAATTAAAATTAAAATTTTTTTATACAAAAAAATTCATCTTCCTCCCTGTACCTCCCCCACCACCATTGTTGGCCGCCGTCAACATCATCTTCATCCCTCCTTTCCCCTACGATTCCCACCAGCGACGCCATCAAACCACCGCCCGCCCGCAGTCGTGAACAACCGCTCTCCGACTCCAAATCCTCCATCCCCACTGCTCCCTCTTGCAGCTGATATTGCTTCCTCGAGATTCGCCCAATCAGTTCATCGATGGAGGATGGGTCCGGTGGTGAGAAACGAAAGGGATTTCTTCAAACCAGGAAGAAGAACCCGATCTGGAACTGCGCCGAAATCGCAGTGATTGCCGCCATGAAATTCAACATCTGCAGGTGAGTGAATCCAACGATCTGGTTTCCAGATCTAGTTTCTGAGCAACTCCATGAGCCCAAGTCCCTCCACGCGTAGTCCCAACTGACCGACAAGGAAAACCCCCAGATTCCCAAATCAAGCCCGACTCTGGCTATTGGCGATCTGTTGGGCACGGTTCGGATTGGAAACGTCGCTGCGGGGAGATGGCGAATTGGGATTTCAGACTGGTCGTCGACTCGTCGTTGCTTTGTCCGGGGAGAATAGGATGAGGATAAGAAGGCGAGCCAGTACGAGGAGCTGAAGGCGGAGAGAACTGCGGCGAAGGAGCTGCAGGGCCTGGCTGTGCGGTAGGATCGGTGAGGCAGATCTGAATCGGAGACATAGGCTCTCCCAGCGTGGCGTAGTACTCGATCCTGGTGGCGTCGGCGTCCATCGGAGAAAGAGCGAGAATCGAAGCCGCCAACAGCCCGATGCCCACATCAACTATGCGATTCTTCCGCTTGGGAACATAGTTCAAAGAGGGGTTGCTATTGGCATTTCTGTGGAATTGAGGTTGCGAAGAGGAGAAGCAAGAAAACGAGCAAGTGGGTTTTGAAATGGAGGGAAGGGCTTGAGCGCGGAAGAGGGATTTGGGGCTTTCGATGGCGGCGGAAGCAGAGAGCGCCATTTTTGAGTTTGAGATTTTTGTTGCAGGGAAGGGGATTTGTTCGGAGACGGAGGGGGTCGGGTCGTTGGTTGGGAGCAATGGTCGCTGGTTGGGAATATTGATGCGGCGGTGGTGGATATTGAAGAACAGATGGGGAAGACGAAGGAGAGGAGAGAGGGAGAGGGAGAGGAGACTGGATATTGAAAAGGAAAAAATTAATAAATGTTTTTATGTTTTTAAATTAGTTATTAATTGATTAACTAATTTATTTTTGAATTAAAATATGACATGGCACTTACGTGGCAAGTGTGGTTGAGTTGTCGCTGACGTGTGCGATGATTTGGCATCCTAGTCAGCCTAACGTTAATTTAACTAACGGAGTTTCTAACACCGTTAAAGTTTCTAACGAAAATGGCTAGATTTGTCACATGACCATCCAATTTCTTGGCTATTTGTGGTTTTCGAATAGAAATGGCTATATTTGTTAAAAACGTGAAAGTTATGGCTATACAAGTGTATTTTGCCTAAATTATAAATTACGGTGACAAGGTTTGACAAAATACGTATAAAAATAAAATTACTTATTTGTCAAACCGGTTTATACCGTTGTGCTGGTTTGACAAGTGAAATGGTACGACCGGTGGTATAACCAGTTTGTGCCGGTTCATGCTGGTTTAAAAAAATGTGAAAACAATTAATATTCAATGTATTTAATCATATATAAAACATATTTGTGGAGAATTTAGTTACAATCCAACAAATATCATCAACTTTTAACTATTACATTCATATAATGAATAAAAATTTATTTTTTTATTCATTAAATTCATTAAAATGATGTCATTTTACTTAGAATACGTAAGTCGATCATACCGGTCATACCGGTGGTATCATGCCGGTTTCATGACCGGCACAGGTTGAACCAGGTTCAACCGGGTGGCATGCCACCGGCATGACAACCATTATTCTTAAATACAACTTTTGATGTCAGCAACCAAACGTAAGATCAATACTTTAATTTTCAAATTTACTAAATAAATCACAATTTAATTTTTCAAATTAAATCTATTAAAATAACATCATTTTGTATAGAGGATGGAAATCCATCATACCAGTCATATCTATACAAAATAACATCATTTTGTATAGAGGATGGAAATCCATTATACCAGGTTTAACTGGCTGTCATTCGATCGACATGACAACCATACTCTAAACTATTTTCATCTCCATTCTCATTTTCATATACCTAAATTCATACACGACTTATTCCATTGCTGTGGATGATTCATAATTTGCAACCTCACTCTTATATCCGTGATTTTTTTTAGTACACGTGGGTAATATCATATATTCAATATTATTATACAAAGATTGTCAACCTGCGGGTTGACCCGGTTTGGTCCGGACCCGACAGTAAAAACTGGTTATAGGCATCCAGTTTGGAATTAACTCGGATACAGTTAAATCCGCTCATAACCGGTTAAACCCGGGAAAACAAGGTGGGTTGACCAGCTGAACGATTCCATGGCCCGCTACTTCGCGTCTCTGCACTGTGGTCTCTGGGAATTGTGCAACAAAAATTCTTACAGACCGTTTGGTACCAAATGAATCTAGAATACATTTCGTTTTAAAATGAATTCCTGTGTAGAATTCATTGTCAAATGAATTCCTGTATTTGGTATATGCTATTAGCGTTACAATCAAATTCTTGTTGACGTTCCTTATACTGCATGAATTGGCGCCAAATAATATATGTAGAAGTAATTTTGTTAATAAATGAGAATAATTATGTCATTTTATCATAATTGGTAAATACTTGTGGAATTCATTTGAAAATTCCATCTCAATTCCTCGGAATTGCTATAACTAGTTCCAATTCCGTAGAATTCAAAATTTAGAATTGAAAATGAATTTTTTTAAATTCCAAACACAAAAAGATTTCATTTCAAAATTAATTCTTAAGAACTTATGGAATTCATTTATACCAAATGGTATGTTAGTTGTATTTGGTAATGTGCACTGCACTTATTAACTTATTAATGAATTTATTTATAACTAGTAAATACTTAATCAATTTATAACTAGTGTTTGTCGTGGGAATTGTAGAACGCAATTTACAACTTTTGATTTTTATTATGAATTTTTTAATATTATATTATTTGTAAATGTAATATGAATATTGATCTTATATGATGAATTTGGATATACTTAATATTTTTATTATATATATTGCTACTTAAGTATGAAATATATTTTGATATAATGTTGGAAGCAAATTGATATAATTTATTATATATGCAAAATATAATATTTGTTACACTTATTCAGTTTATTTGGGCTAAATCGGGCTAAAATGATTCGACTATTAACGCTTAACTCACTCTATCGAGTCAACAGGCCAAACCGGACTAACAACCTTACATAGAATCAACATCAACATGCAGCGGGGGATCCAGGACACAGTAGAACACTGGGCCTGCATTTCATTAGAAAATTAGACACCGTATGAAAATCATAAATTTATTTACTATATCAATTGTACACGTCGATCTTTTTAAATTTCAATATAGTGAATTCATCAATAATTGAGTCTACATCCATACCAATAACATACTCTCTTTAAGATAAAATAGTTAAAGAATTGGCGAGAAATTCATCGCTCATTTTATTATGTAGATAAATTTTCACCTATTTCATTTGTGAAAAGGTTCTCTCCGTAGTTGTTGAAACGAGCAATGTCAACATTAGACAAATCAATCGACTAATCAATATATATGTTTTGTGTCAATCCCTATTTTCACCAGCTACTCTAGTAATTTTTCAAGTGAACAAACCTCATATTCCTTTTAATCTTTTACGTTTTTTACTTTTAGAATTTTAGGTTTCATTGCTTGTTTTTCTTTAGGCTAGAATCATTGGAGTTAGAATTTTCAGGTTAAATTTAGAGCTGCGTTTTGAATATGTTCATCTGACCCATTTTCCTAATTACACACAATTTTATTATAAAATAACACTGGGCCGAATGACTACAACCGATAAACTAATAAGGGCTATACTAGCTTCGGATCCAGAGGAGGGCTGGGCCGTGGCCCGCAGGCCCGGGGTGGCCTCCCCCTGGCAGCGGCGGATCCAGGATTTAGTAGAGCACTGGGCCGCATTTGAATAAAAAATTAGATATTGCAAACGAAAATATATAATAATAACTATGATTTTTATTATAAGGTCAATTGTACACGATAGTCTTTTAGTTTAGCAAATTCATTAATAATAAAGTTTTCAGCCATACCAATAGCACTCTCTCTCAAAGAAAATAGTTAAGCAATCAACAAGAAATTCATCGCACATTTTGTTGCACAAATCAGTTTTCACATGTTGCATTGTTTAAAAGGCTATCTCTATAATAGTCGTTGAAACGGACAACATCAATACTAAACGAATCAACTTATAACAAGAAAACAATGTTGTTTTTGCATTTTATTTGGTGCTTTAGAATATGTCAATATTAAGTATCTTTTAAATCTACAAAATCAAATGACACAACAATCATATAACATTCAAGTTTCGAATTAACTTATCTTCAAATATGCATAATCAAATAGCACAACAATTATATACATTCAAATTTGGAATTAACTTTGTGATTCTAATTCTAATTATAATATCATTAATCAAAAGAACAAACATATACGTTTCCTTTCTAATAATACGTGTCCTTCCACTTATGTTCTTTACCATTCCATCAATTTCCACCAAAACCAACATCACAGGGTCGTTCCTTGCATCTCCTAATCCTCAAATTTAGGCCACTTGACCAGCATTTGTCGACACAATAAACTAGAGCAACTTGATTTGTTTGTTTCCAATGCAAGTAGAAATGAGTGGGTTTTCAACCAAGAATTAATTAACAGACACAGCTAAAGCCCACTGTTGCTTTTTATCTTAAGTAAAGGTTAAAGACACATTTGGTCATTGGGATTACAAAATCGGGACATGTTTAGTCACTAGAAAAAGTTAATATCAAATTTGGTCACTACAATTACTAAAACTGGACACATTTAGTCACTCGCCGTTAATCTCCGTCCAACTCCGTTAATAAAGTCCGTTAAGTGCTGATGTGGCAAACAGAATTGCCTAATCAGCCGGATATAACCCAACAAAAATAAAACCCGACTCGCCACATCATTATAACCCGCCACGTCATTAAAACCAACTCAACCCAACCCAACCCTTCTTCCTCCTTCCTCCCACCTCGGCACCTCCCACCTCCTTCCTCTTCTTCTCCTTTCTGATCAACGCTGCTGCTGCTTCTTCCTCCACCTTCCTCCATTGGTAATGCATACTTCCGACCGGAAACATCTGCACCACCACCACCACCTCCCGCTGCTGCTGCTGCTCGGCGACCCACGTGACGAGGATCTCTCCTCTGCTTTCCGGAGATTACTGACACCAACCCCACAACAACACGCAAAACAACAAAAAGGTTAATTAGAAGTTCTAATTAAGGACTAGTAATAATTAAATAAACAATATCAATCGAATTTGAACACTACCGAAACTAATACTCACGGAGCTTGCTTCTCAAGTAGTCGTCGGCGGCGGCGGAATCAGGAGGCGCGAGCGGGATGAAAACGCCCGTGCCACTACCGGCGGAGGAGTTCCTGCTGCCGAGATCCCGGCGCGGGGCAAACCAGACCCGCTCCCTTGAAACGGGTACACCTGGGTTTGGGTCGGTCGGCTTCTCTGCTTCTGCAGTGGAAGCACTGCTCCTTCTTTCCCCAAAACCACCGCCATGGAAAGAAGGAGGTGGAAGGTGCCGAGGTGGGAGGAAGGAGGAAGAAAGGTTGGGTGGGGGTTGGGTTGGATTGGTTTTAATGACGTGGCGGGTCGGGTTTTATTTTTGTTGGGTTATATCCGGCTGATTAGGCAATTCTTTTTGCCACATCAGCACTTAACGGATTTCATTAACGGAGTTGGACGGAGACTAACGGCGAGTGACTAAATGTGTCCAGTTTTAGTAA